TTATATGAACAAATAACTATTAATTTTAAAAGTAAACTGTAATTTTTTGGAGGCATTTTAGGCAATATATACATACAAGTCAGTATGAGATTGTTAGGAGACCTGTGACCACCATTCATACATGTGCATGCAAAACAGCTGTGTCACTACGCCCTCTTTGCCAGCTCCAACTAGTACACATTGGTTCCAGTTGCTTGAAATTTTATTGCACAAAATGATGACCACCCCTTTTCTTGACCTTTGATTACAAAAAGGTGTCCTGTTCCTTACACAGGTTAATGTAACATTTTCCCTGTTTATGGGTTTATGATCATGGCTAAGGCATCTGTGTAGGCATTCCTTAAAAATTAGGATACAGTTTACTGCCTCTTCATTTCCCCATTGGCCCCTCCCTCAGACTTCCTTATAGAGTTGGTGATATCACCTTTACTTATTCTCACTGTACTTTTGGCATTTTATTATTATTTTCTATGTGTCTGTTTCTACCTTGCATTAAGCTCCCTACAGGCAAGAAGTGGTTCTTGTTACTTTTATCACAATATCTGGCATTGAGCTGAATGACTTCTAACTTAGTAACATTTGTAGTAGTACCATCTGAAGACTTGTGAGTCCAAGACTCTTTATCAATAAGTTTAAAACAAAATGGATCTTTCTTGCTATAAAATGAAAGTCTATTTGCTGCTTCTTTTGCTAACTTGTTTCTGCTAGGAACTATCACTTTTCCTTCCATTTATCTGAGCTAGAAAGTTTTGTTGAACCTTGACTAGTTATTTCCTTCCATATCAGAAAATTGTTAAAATATCAACAAGGATCTTAACATATTTAATTCATGTAGTAATTTTACATGTGTTTATGTGTATGCAAGTATATACTGTTGACATCACAATATTCAAGAATATTTTGGAATAATCACCTATAATTCTTTATCTTAACACTTCCTTCCTTCTGCTTATTTCCTTTTTTTTTAAGTTTATTAGAGAGAGAGAGAGAGAGAGAAAACATAAATGGGGGAGGGGCAGTGAGAGAATCCGAAGCAGGCTCTGCATTTTCATTAGGGAGAGCTTGAACTCAGAAACCCAGTGATCACGACCTGACCCGAAATTAGAATCGGATGCTTAACTGAGCCATCCGGGTGCCCTTTTTTGCTCGTTTCCTTTTTATTTTTTATTTCCTTTTATAGTTGCATGCTTAATCACAACCTAATCATTTTGGAATCTTGTGAAATTTTTTTCCCTTTTATTTTTAAGTGAAGGCTTACGTTGAAGTCTCTCTTGGCTTTCTTGGGGTACCAGACTGCCCTGCATGTTCCACAGTATTTTCAGAGGCTGGCGGTATGTCTTCGAAGGCTGGTTTTCCTGGGTAGATTCCCCTTCCCCCCATCATGCTCTTCTGGATATGCCCCACTCAGCTCTGCCGTATGATTTGTTTTCGTTGGGGCACAACTGAGGACTTCGTGTACCTTTGTCTTCTTCCCCTACTCCAACTTTTTGTTTTTATAATTTCAAACCTACAGAAAAGTTGAAAGAACAGAATGATTCACCAATGTTACCATTTTGCCACACTTGCATTATGTTGCTCTTGTTTTTGTGGGGAACGTGCTCCCTTCATTTACTTGTACATCTGCCTTTTCTGTTGTGCTCAGCCATTTCAAAGTAAATTGTAGGTATCATAAACTTCATCTGTAAGTATGTCAGCATATATCTCCTAGGGATAAGGATGTCTTTTTAAAAAGCCACACCATTATGACCCTTAGGCAATTTAAAATTTAACATCAATACAATATTACCTGATAGTTTGTTAATATTCTTAGGTCTTAACTTGTCCAGTAATATCCTTTAAAAGCCTTTTTTTGTTATGTCCAGACCCTAGTCAAGGATCACATATTATTTACTTTTCAGTCTCTTTGGTGTTATCCACCAACTTGGCTTTTTCTGTCATGCACGTTTGTATATTGAAGAGCCCAAGCCAGTTTTCTTAAACGTCCCACAATTTAGATTTGTCTGATGTTCATTATTATCACATTCTGGTTAAATATATTTGCAGTACAACATAAATGATGCATGTTTGTCAGTGCATATCATCAGGAGCTGCTGTCCTTTTTGAACAGAAACCTTTAAAGATGGCTCCTGTGTCCTTTTGACACTCCCCTAGTCTGTCATAGCTTCCTCACTTTGTGGTAAAAAAGATGTTTTGGGTTACTTTTCGTACATTTCATGCCCACACCCAGGATCAGCTATTTCTTCAGGAAGACCTACTTCCTTAGGAGCTCCTATGTGGCTCAGTCAGTTAAGTGTGTGACTTTAGCTCAGGTCTTAATCTCGCAGTCTGTGAGTTCGAGCCCCAGGTCGGGCTCTGTGCTGACAGCTCAGAGCCTGGAGCCTGCTTCAGATTCTATATCTCCCTCTCTCTCTGACCCTTCCCTGCTCACACTCTTTCTCTGTCTCTCTCAAAAAGAAATAAACATTTTAAAAAACCTATCTCCTTATACTGGGAAATGTTAGAGGTCATAATTTAGCATTAGGGGTGCCTGTTGCTACTGGAATAGTAATTGTTTCTAGCCCATGGAAGAGTTAGGAAGTTTTCCTTTTAAAGAAAATTATACTTTAAATATATTTTACAATTTAAATTTAAAATTGAGGATTTCTGTGCACTTGATTTTATATTTTGACATGTTATGGTGAATATATTGGTTCCTAATTTACATGAACATAATTGTTTGCTTTATCCTACTATATATTAATTTCAAAATAACAGTATCTTACTAGAAGGTAAGATTTCTAATTATTTTATCTTGAGAATATATGCTAGAGTCCAATTACTGTGCTTAAAGTTCATTTCAGTTCTTTTCACTTCTGCTTTTCATAGTTAACCATTTTTATTTTTGAATTATATACTGATTTTTAAAATAGAAGTTCAAATAATTTACATCCTCCTCCTCTAGATAAAAGGCTACATGCTATATGCTATTCTGCAGTTTGCTTTTTTCACTTGACAGTGAAATCACTACCTAGCAGTACATAGAGATCTTTCTGATTTTCTTTTGCAGGTGTATAGTACCCCCTTGTGTAACTATGTTAGACATATAGATTGTTTAATCTTTTGCATTACTGTATGATTGTCTTTGTATTAAAAAAAATGTTAGCTAAGTATATACTTGCACAGAATTGCATACAGGACTCAAACAGATACTCGTATGCCAGTGTTTGCACCAGCACTGTTTACAATACTCAGAAAATAGACACAACCCAAGTGTCTGTACAGATGAATGGGTAAGCAAAAAGTAGTGTATACATACAAAGGGATATTATTCAGCCATTAAAAAGGAATGGGGTTCTGATACATACTACAACATGGATGAACCTTAGGCAACATGGTAAGTGAAATAAAGCCAGACACAAAAGGGCACATATTGTATGATTTTACTTACAAGAATGATATATGGTAGGCAAATTCACTGACAGAAAATAGAGTTTCCAGACACTGGGGGTAAGGGAAGAATGGATAGTTATTGCTTAAATGGGTAGAGAATTTCTGTTTGGAGTGATGTGATGAGTATTTTGGAAATAGTGGTTATGGTTACACAGTACTGTAGATAAAATTAATGCCACTGAGCTGTACAGGTAAAGTAGAAATTTGGAAAGGCTATCCAAAGCAGTTGAGTTCCAAAAGCATTTAACAAAAACTCCAGAATGTTGATTCTGGCCCAAGAGAGGTCTCTAAGCTTAAACCTGAGAAGGGTCCTTGAACACCTAAATCTTTTGATCCTGAGAAGGGTCCTTGAAACACCTAAATCTTTTGATCCTGAATTAGCACCATGAACATTTTAAATTTTAATTTAACAATTATTCTTCCATATCTTTTTCTAATGCTTTTATATTTTCCTGTATTTTACTTGTCAGCAAAACTATGAAGTTAACGCAGCTAGTCATCTTTAGTATCTGTTCTCATTTTACAAAGCAAATAGGCTCTGAGAAGATCCTTCCCTAAGGCCGTACAGCTAAAAGGGAGTAGGAACATTCTTGGGTCCCAGTATAGGTAGGTCCTACAGAGTCATGATTCATTAATTATATAATCATTTAATGACCATCTCCTCTCAGCTAGACACTGAGGATATAATAACAAACAACAAATTCCATGTCCTTTCTCAGTGTACAGTTTAGAAAAAGAGCCCCACAATGATCATATATATAAGATTACATAGTACTGTGTACACAGCCCTACGTATCATATCATAGTTCAACTAGGTGGGTTAGAGTATAGAGTATTATGGGAACACTTCACAGGCGCCGTTTGAAACAATATATAGTACTCAGAAACACCTGCTGTCTGGTTCAGTTTATACTTGTATACCTGTGTAAGTAAAACTTAAGCTTTTTATCTACTTAGGAAACCTAATTTTCAAAGCTTACCCTTTCAGTCTCAAGGGTACTTGAGACTCTACTTCTAGCTGGTACTTGAAACTCCACTTTGGGAAGAACTCGTATTTCCCAGCTGTGCACACATCTGCCATCTTCCTTCATATTCCTACTGAAGTCTAGCACATACTCAAGTTCCCGATGCAAAGTAGATGCTAAATAAATGTTTATTCACTAAGTGAGTTAAGGCTCTCGTAATTGAGCCCTCTTAGTGAACTGAACCAGTTTTGCGTCTATGGCAGTACTTTACCTGCATGTGGATTTCCCTATATTTCTGTGGCCTGTGCACTGATCTGTTACTTTAGTTTATTATCCTTTACTGACTGAACATGAACATATTCTGGAAAAAAGGTGAACTTCTGATTTTCATCTTAAAACAAGGTATCTCACTTCCATATCTAGAACTTTTATGAGGAGCACAAATAATTCTCTGGTAATGTTTTTTTAAGGGTGACACTGAAACTATGGAAATATATAGATATGTTTGCAATATTTTGTAAAGTATGTCAGTTTTAGCTTTATAAGATCTTTTGGTACCATTCTTCAATGGCAATTAAATATTTGTTATTTTATCTTAACTTTCAGGTAAAGAAGATACTCCCTCATTACTCGGTCTCTGTGGGTCTCTAACATCAGTGGCGAGTTACAAATCACTAACAAGTCTCAAATCTAATGACTACCTTGCAAGTCCCACAACAGAGATGACAAGTCCAGGCCTGACTCCATCCTGAAAAATTTTATGTAAAAGCCAGAAGTTTTTATGTTGCAAATGTTTTATTTACATAAGTTTGACTGCTGGGAAAACCTTTGGAATTTTATATTGTTCTGGCACATGTCTGGAATTCTATTGCTTCTTTTAGAGAATGCAGTCTACTCCATGTGCCCTTCTGAGTGAAAAAAAAAAGTGATTCTGCCATTTTCATTTTAAGATTCTTATATTTGTCACTGAGGAAGTTTAAAAATGAATAGGCTTAAAAAAAAGTTCAAATGTCCTTTAAATTAATAACCCATTGTAAACTGTGATGTATATTTATTATTCAGGTGATTTCATATATTTAATGTATCATAATTGCCAGGTTGAGTTCAAGGTTTTATTCCAGAAACACATAAGTTTTTTCTTTTACTCTTTTATTCAATGATTTTCTAAAATTACTTGTTAATTAACATTAATTTTTCATTAATTTCTTCCTACGTTCTGATGTTTAAATGCCTTGTTTTTAATATTAGGAGGAAATTCTCAACTGGTTTCACGGTGGCTTTATTCAGTTTTGGTATCAACATTCCATTAACATTTTACAATTTTTGTAGGAATGTGCCTTTAGGCCATCATTTAATTTATTAGGGTCATATGGAAAGTACACCATTTCGGTAACATGAGTAAATTTCTTATCTGTGTTTTCCCCAAGATTTTCTTAAAAGGCTATTTAAAAATATCACATATTCGTCAATAGTTGGAAACATTTAAAAATGTACAAATACTTGTTGAAAAGTATTAGGAAAGACTCCCAAGTTCATTTAAGGATTTGAGATCCTTTAAGTAAGGATTAGTAATCACCATATAAATAATCTGACATACAGGGCTGTTTTGTTCTCCCTTGTGTGCAACAATGAATCATGCAATGTTAACATTAAAAATCCCTACACTTCTTCTAAAGGTAGTTTTTTTTTTTAAAAAAAGTTACGTGCTGTAAACTTTTTGCAACTATATATTTCATCCATAAAAATCCCACCATGGTGAAAGAAAAAAAATGTATGAAGTATATTTTCTATAGTAAGTAATATGAGGAAAACATTATTAGTTGTGCCAAAGAAGTTTTCTATATTGTTTACACGAAGAGGACACAATACTTAATGGGGACTTCATATGCTATTTTTGTTTATTAATTAAACATTACATTCAAACTTAGTAGCTTGGACATACAAGAAGAATGTTCCTCCTACAACAAATTTCTTTTATTCAGAGGAGGCAAGAAGAGTGCTGAACTTATTACATCATTCTCTGCATTCGAAATGTGTAGGAGTGTGGTAGTTCTTTGCAATATTGAGAACTTTATTCTCATAATTTGGAATTTAAGATAAATAATAAGGCTAGTCTTATATGTAAGACAGTTTAAGCAATGTTATTTCAGGGACAAAGGCGGCCTGGAAGCTGTTAAAATAAGTTATCCTAGATGTACCAGAACATATTCAGAGCTTTATTCCTTTAGCTTAAGGCTTTAGTACTTGTAAAAATGCAAATATTCTTGAAAAATGGTATCTTTAACCTACTCTTAGTTCTGTGTACCTTATTATGAGTGAGGTATCCAAAGCGATTTTTGACGAGCCTGGGGCTAGAAGGAAGATAAAAATGAGGACAGTGGAAACACTGGGAAGAAAGAGTAAGAAATGGCTAAGTTGGGGAACTTGAAAAATTTTAAACTGGCTTAAGCACTGTTGCTGCTTTCCTAAAAAGCAATCAGAGTGTGTAAAATGCTTTATCATTCATGGGCCACTCTGAACCAACATTTATTATTCCTCAGTAATTAAAAAAAAAATCATTGTTAAATTTTTTTCTTACATTTTTATAATACAGAAAGGAAATTCAAGATTCCATAATTGATAATTTTCCAGATTTGTCTAATGCATAACAGTAACCTGTGCTGCTAAATGCAGATTTAAACATGACATCTGAGGATCATTACTTTTCCTCCTTTCTTGGGGCTCCTGGTATAAAATCCATCTGCTGATGTGACTTCAGGTTTCTGTACATTTTATTTCACACTTGTTATATATGTATAATGTTTGCATGAGGAAACCGTGTATGTCTCAATCTTTAATTTTAGGTGGTAGTGTTTATTGTTTACATACCCTACCCAGAATAGAATGCTGAATTATATGCTAATTTTTCCATGTGTATTTTGTTGCCTTGATGTACTATACTTGTTGCATGTATATTAAACGTTTTGTACCATGCATTAGTGGTTATGTTTTTTCCTTGAAGTTACTTGATTCAAGTTGTACGCTGGGCTTTTTATTTTAGCAAATATGGTAAATGCATATTATTCAACACCTAAAATACTAATATGACAAAAGTTTTGAAGAAATCTTTAACTCACATATCTTTTATTTAAAGAAAATAACATGATATGCTTTAGAATACACAATATCTATTGAAGGGGTACAATACAATAGTGATTTAGGTGGTTGCTAATATAATTATGTAACAGCCCTATTTATATGTTTTCTCGCCTATAAAATGGAAACATCACCATCTTCTCAGAACCTATGATAGCATTAGGATGATGTCAGCATTAAAGGAATTATATAAACTAAGCTTTTATTTAGGTCATCTTTATTAGATTTACATAGTAGTTTTCAAGTGGTTAAAAATGTGTCTCAAATTTACACCTTAAGGAAATTTTCTGTAAAAGTTCTTATTCGTAAGTGAAATCTCCAGTTTTGATAAATAGACTGGATTACTTCTGAAATGTCACATCACTATGAACATCAGGTCTCTTAAATATCTTTCAATATCTTTTAATCACTGTAAACAAAGCAGCCCCTACTTGGCTTTAGATTCTCTTCTTTTTAACTGTTGTGGGGAGATAAAATTATATCAATGACATTATGGTTTCTTTTAAAAGTATATTTTACTCCAAACTAGTTCTTATTACAAGTCCCCATTATTTCTCTAAAACCCAAATAAAACCAAAGTTTCACTACATAAGACAGCCTTACTACATATGTGACACATTCTGGTGCTGTCTGTGCTGTGTTGAGCTAAACTATGCTAACCTATTTTCTTCTCAGTGGAAAAAAAACAAAAACAAAAATGCTGGTCTTGGAAAACAAACTCAACTCTGTAATTACTACAGCTGTGCCAAAAATGCTGCTTTGGTTTCCCGATGCCTTCTTGTTTTTCCTTATCTGGAACTAAATTCCACTGTCTGAATGGAGCCTACCACTTCCAGGTATGTTTAACTGGATCACCTGTCCTAATCTTAGAAGTATTTCCTGACACTGCCTCTCTGCTCCCAAGCTGAGTCCTTAGGTTTTCCATGACTTTCTTTGCAGACTTCTGCCAAACAGCTCTGCTGTCTCCTTGTAGCCAGTGACAGCATCTGAAGTATCTTTTATTTTTAAATATTTTTAAATGTTTTATTTATTTTTGAGATAGACAGTATGAGCAGGGAGAATCAGAGAGAAAGGGAGATACAGAGTCTGAAGACAGGCTCCAGGCTAGGTGTCAGCAAAGAGCCCAACGCGGGGCTCGAACTTATGAACCGTGAGATCATGACCTGAGCTGAAGTCGGACGCCTAACCGACTGAGCCACCCAGGCGCCCCTGAAGTATCTTATCTCAAGTGCTGTTTAAACTGCCTACCACGCAGAAGATCGGAGTCAATGTTGAATGATTAAAATTTATTTAAAAAGTTCATTTTGGAAAAAAGTCCAAAACTAATAGACTAAACTTTTCCACCTCCCTGGAACTCATGCTCCAGAAAGAGGGAGGGAAGAATTTAAAGAAGTCATATCTGGTTAAATAGGTATAGTGAGTAGTTTTCCTAGAAATAAAATAAAAAAATTATTTTAGCTTCATATCTAATTGTTACAAAGTCAAATGCGTATTATATGGAAGGTAGCATGCAATACTTGAATTTCTTATTAAAAAAATTTATACACATAAGAAAGTAAATGTATATTTTAGAAAACTTAAATAGAAGGAAACTATTTGCTTTCAGAAAGCAAATCAGAAAGATTACAAATATAATTTCCAGCCAAGCACTTTTTAGTTGCTACTATTTTTAAAAAATTTTTTTATTTAAATAAAACATGAATGTTTCTCTACCTCTACCATGTAATTATGGAGAAAACTTCTTTTACTCTTCTTTTCATCCACATACACTGCATGTAATATGTATTAGAAAAGCTTCTAGAGAGGGGCGCCTGGGTGGCTCAGTCGGTTAAGCATCCGACTTCAGCTCAGGTCATGATCTCACGGTTCGTGGGTTCGAGCCCCACATCGGGCTCTGTGCTGACAGCTAGCTCAGAGCCTGGAGCCTGCTTCTGATTCTGTGTCTCCCTCTCTCTCTGCCTCTCCCCCCCTCACGTGCACTCTCTCTCTCAAAAATAAACATTAAAAAAAAAAAAAGCTAGGGAGTTAGATTTATTTATTTTAATCATAAATGATAAGAATTTTCCATACATGCAGTCATACAGTCCTGGGGGTGGTGGAAGTGGAAATATCCTTTTTGGTATTACTATTAAGTTGAAATATCAGGGATGCCTGTGTGTCTCAGTTGGTTAAGCATCCTTAGGGTCAGGTCATGATCTTATGATTCCCACATCGGGCTCTGTGCTGACAGCTCAGAGCCTGGATCAGCTTCAGATTCTGTGTCTCCCTCTCTCTCTGCTCCTCCCTGCCTCAAGCTCTGTCTCTGTCTCATAAATAAACATTAAAAAAAACAAAGTTGAAATATAGGACTGCCTCTTATAAGTTACATATTAAAATTTTTCTGTTTGCTACTAATCAGTTACCAAAAAGAAGCATAACAGAACCAAGGTAAATTTAAAGTTAATACTGTTAGACATCAGTGTTTAAGATAAAACTTTCTTATATATAGTATTAAAATAATTTTATATGAAAATATTTAGCATGAAGCACAGCGATACTTTTAAAAAATCAAAATATTTTAATGACTGTTAAAGTCATAAATATTTATGATTTTATAGATATGTATGTTGCAATTTTAAGGTAAATCAGTACAGGATAAAACAAACACAAAAGACTACATACACACCTTACATATTCTGATGAAATATATAAACTTTTTTCTATAATACAAAATACATTAGTTCCTCTACCTACACTAGAGGTCTGTCACTGAACATATTACTGTATTTTAGGGAAAAAAATACTTCACATTTTCCTAGCCTACACATAGACTATAATAAAGTGTATTTTCTTATAGGATATAGATCCTGAGAAAATCAAACAAAAACCAAAAAAGGACATCATTTCTGTCCTGCCCTCGTCACCCTTCCTTGTTTCATTCCTGCAGTCATGGGCAACATTACTGAGGCCCTAGCCTACAGTGACAGAAAGCTCTTTCTTCAGGGAAACTGCTTCCTCTTTAGTCTCTTGACCTAGCATACTAACATGAAGATATGTAAAATCAAGGGACATTTTGGAAATATTCTGTGTCTTATACTATATTAATAATCTCAACTGTGTTAGAAGCAGCCAATACAAGTGACCTAGAGAATTCCACAAACAGTGATACCTGAATTACAAGATGGCTGAAACCAGAAGCCCTTCCTTGGCTGATACAACTTTTACTAATCTAAATGTATTGTGCTTTTCTACTGCACAGCCGAGAGTCACTGTGCCAAGCATTTAATACCATCAGTAAAGATGACTCCTACGGGGCAGAAACAGTAAATAGTCTTTAATCATCAAAAATATCATCTATATCATATAAACAGTTATGTTTTGATTCATAAAGAGAAAACAGCCATACCTCTGAAGAAATCCTAACACTGGTGAAGTCTTAAAACAGCAGCAGGAAGAAAAAAAAAAAACACAAAAAACCCAACAAAAAAACACTAATGTATTTGAATTAAAGAAAGTATCTAATAGGTATTATCTGGTAAATGCAAATAATGTTATTTAAAGACTGCCATCTATTATATATTTTTCTGAAATACTTAAATATCTATGTGCATGATTGAGGTGTCTATAAAAGACTTAGGCATTTTTCTTCTAGACTCTCTCTCTACATCATTCAGCACATAATTCAAAATGCTCTGATACATCTGATATGTTCTCAGTTATCTAACTCTCAGATAACTGCTTTCAGTGCTAAGGAATCATTTTTCTTTTCTTTACAAGAACATTTAATGGCTGTGATTTCTGGAAGATCTTTTTCAATATCTCAAAAATCAGAGTAACAATTTATTTTTAAATTAGGATTTTGATCTAGAGGCAAAGTAGAAATTACTACTCATAAATTATAAAATAGAAAAATAATAAAACATTTTAAGATAATGGTTAAAGTTCTTGCCTAAGAGTCTCCAACTTATTATTTGGCTTTGGTTGTTATTTCAAGTTGAAACGGCATCACTAGTACTGCTGTCTTTGAGAATTTTGCTTCTGGAAAAAAGCCTTCCCAGATTCATAGGTACTGATCATAATGGCACAAGCAGGAGCAATTTTAATTAAACGGGGAGTGAGGCCTGAAAAGAGAATAGAAAAAAAATCAGAACAAATTTTACCTTATGTTAAAAAAATTTGATTTCATTCTGATAATGATCAAATGAAGTGATAAATACTGTGCTATCGACTGGTATCAAAGAACAAGGCAAATTACTCCCAAGCTCCTCACTTTAACTCCAGTTTACTTTATATAGAAATTTTTTATTAAATCTGTTCATAATTTTTTTAACTTAAAGCAAAGACGTTTAGGGAGAAGTCATAAGTGTGGAATACTTTCAATAATTTCTTGCTACTTTAGGAAAAGGACAGACTGCAAAAGTAATAATTTTATTCAAAGATTTGGTAAAGCAAGTATTTTTACCTGTAAATAATCCTGCAAACCCATTCTTAGCAACAATATTCTTCATGATAGTCCATGTTGACATATGCAAAGGCATAGAAACTAAATGTTAAAGAAACGATACATTAAAAATTACCACTTAATAATTTTTTTTTAACCTTTATTTATTTTTTAGGAGAGAGAGAGCATGAGCTGGGGAGGGGCAGATAAAGAGGGAGACACAGAATCTGAAACAGGCTCCAGGCTCTGAGCTGTCAGCACAGAGCCCAATGCGGGGCTTGAACCCATGGACTGCAAGATCATGACCTGAGCCAAAGTCAGATGCTTAATCGACTGAGCCACCCAGGCGCCCCAAATTACCACTTAATAATTTCTAATACACATGACACACATCAAGTGTTTATGGTCTTTGGGGATG